CGAGTATTGGTATGGCACCGTTTGAAGCATTGTACGGTAGACGGTGTAGGAAGCCATTGTGTTGGTATGAGTCGGGAAAGAGTTTTGTGGTTGGACCCGAGATAGTCCAGCAGACTACCAATAAGATTAAGATGATTCAAGAGAAGATGAAGATTTCTCAGAGTCGTCAAAAGAGTTATCATGACAAGAGGAGGAGAACACTTGAATTTCAGGAGGGGGATCACGTGTTTCTTCGGGTTACTCCTATGACCGGTGTTGGTAGGGCATTGAAGTCGTGTAAGTTGACGCCGCGTTTCATTGGTCCTTATCAGATTTTGCAGAGGATAGGAGAGGTAGCCTATCATGTTGCTTTGCCGTCGTCGCTTGCTAATCTCCATGACGTGTTCCATGTATCTCAGTTGAGGAAATACATTGCGGATCCTTCTCATGTAGTCCAAGTAGATGATGTGCAGGTGAGAGATAACCTGACTGTGGAGACATCACCTATGCGGATAGAGGATCGGGAGTTGAAGCAACTTCGAGGCAAAGAGATTGCTTTGGTGAAGGTCGCTTGGGGAGGACCGGCTGGTGGAAATGTGACTTGGGAACTTGAGAGCCAGATGAGGGAGTCGTATCCCGAGTTGTTTGAATCAGGTAACATTTTCGAGGACGAAAATTTCTAAAGTGGGGGAGGGTTGTAACAGCCCAATTATTTCAATAATTAATTATTCATATTAGTTAATTAATTTATTTGGATTATTTTAATTATTCGATGATTAATTAAATGAATTGGTAGATATTTTGAGAGAAGAAAATATTGGAGAGAATTAGAAGGGAAAGACATATAGGAGGAAAAGTGGAAAGAAAAGGAAAGATAGAAACATAAGAGAAAGAAAGAGGAAGAGGAGAAAAGAGAAGGAAAAAGAGGAAAACTTGGATTCTTCAAGAACAACTCCCAAATTTCGATTAATCGAGGTAAGGGTGTGAAATGTTGTTATTCTACCAATGTTTATGATTATGTATGGATTGTATGGATTGTTTGGGTGTTTTCTCCATTTTCCATTCTAGGACATAATGAGTTTAATCGGTAGAATCGAAGTTTTAACGGTTAAAATCGAGAATAAACGGTGTAGTTTAGTCGGGTAATATTGGGCTAAGACTATTGGAACTGATTGGAATTGAATCGGTCGGTTTTGTGAGTATTGAATGATTTTGGACAGTTAGGGATTCTGAGTTCGCAGATTCGCTAACGTTCGCTAGGAGAGCATAAGCGAAGGTTCGCCAGGAGAATCCCAGCGAGTGAGTAGCAAACCATTACAGTAGCCAAAATCAGCCTCCACTGGCGTGTTCGCCAGGCGAGTATGGCAGCGAGTAGTAGCGAACACTTCCAGTAGCTATTGTCTGCCTTCGCCAGCATGTTCGCCAGGCGAGTGGGGCAGCGAGCATTCGCCAGGAGAAGGACAACGAGCGTGACAGCATTCTTGTTTTCTTTGTGATTCCATCCAATGTGGATTCCTTGGTTCGATTCTGTTCGATCCGTGTTAGAAATAAGTAATTGTATGTTGTGAATCATATGTTGTGGATAGCCGTAAGGCGTGAATCCTAGATTGTGGAATTGATTATGAAATATGGCCTTTTGGCGTATATAATACATTGTTTTAATTTGATTAAAAATGCATGATGAATTGTGATGAGGTTTGTTGCCGTTTGGCATGATGTTGTGAATATATATATATATATATATATATATATATATATATATATATATATATATATATATATATATATATATATATATATATATATATATATATATATATATATATATATATATATATATATATATATATATATATCGATTATATGTTATAGTATGTGAAGAATGCATGGGAACATATTGTGAATATATGTGCATTGCTTGATAATGTGGTGATGATATTGAATTATGAATGCATATTGTTTGTATGTGATGTTGTGAAGAATGCATGGGAACATATTGTGAATATGTGTGCATTGCTCGATGAATATGATGTTATTGAATATGAATATGTTGTGTGTGCACTCATGTTATAATTCTTGAGTGATGAATTATTTGAATGCATGGGATTAAGATGCGGGAACGGTCTTAAGTGCATTTGGTGGTTGATTGCATATGCATCATTTAGTCAAGAGGCAATGTTTGCTAGTTTCGTGGAGACTAGTGACTTGTCCCAAACCTAGAAGGGTGGGTTTGAAAGCTTAGGGAACGGACTTTTGTTGTTATCGGTCTAGAAGGGTGGACTCGGTTTAAGTGTAAAAACCGAAAAATGATAACAAGTGTTGGTACCACATGGCATGAGTTGCATTGAGTTGCATTGAGTCACATGATTAATGTGTATTGTTGTTTGAAAGTATACTTGTATGTGAAGTATTAAATTGAGAATTATGGATGTACGCATGATGAAATGTGGTTGGGGATTTCCCATGTTTGTTTATACATATGTTATGATGTATATGATGATTGGAATGAGCTGTGGTGAGAAAATGTGGAATATATGTATTATGTACTTGTGTAAGTATATATATAATTATATGCATTGATTATTATGATAATATTTCTCACCTTTCTGCTATTTTATAATGCTCTATGAGGCATAGTAGATTAGATTTTGTTGGAGGTCTTTTGTGAAGTATAGCTTCATTCTTTTGTCGGTTAGCTCTGATATGTAGCACCGGGTAGTTAGGATTGTACAGTATTCTTTTGGGATACATCTTGTATATGTATCTGATGGCAAATGATTATGTAAATACGAATGATGTGATGAAACAAACTAAATGATATGTATTTATATGATTACATGTTTTTTAGATTTATATGTATCTGATGGCAAATGATTATGTAAATACGAATGATGTGATGAAACAAACTAAATGATATGTATTTATATGATTACATGTTTTTTAGATTTTCCGATTTAACTCTAAATATTGAGATGTGGGTGTAAGGACTAAGTTCCTTAGTTGAAACTACTCCACTGTTACATGTCTTTTATAGAGTAGGTGTTGTATGTTATTTTATGCATGATGTGACATACTTCTTTTATACCATGTTTCAAATATACTCTGATGAAATTTTATTATGTGATTTATTTGTTTACTTGGGGGTATAGAAGGGGGTGTTACAAGAGAGACACCACTTATTCACCTAAAACCTTAAGGTGGTAGGTGTATGGGTCCTCTCACTTATAAAGTGTGTAACCTCCACTTTTCTAAGCAATGTGGAACTTAGAACTCATACTTGATTCTCAACACAACTCACACTTATTTCCCAACAATTTGAACACATTGGTCAAGATTTAATGATAGCGGATCCGTTAACTAAAGGTTTACCGTCCAAGACATTTATTAGCCTGCATGTAGAAAAGATGGGCATTATGTAAAATTCATTGTTGACATTATAATATAATTGGTATATATACATGTATAATTTAATGTTCGTATTGTATGACACTTGTAAATTCAATTAAGGATATGTTTCTCCTTTGGTTTGCTATCCATATTATGTTGTATACATTGTTATTAATATATGATGAGAAAGGTGTCTTTGAAGAGACATGAAAGACATACTATTGTATCCCTTAAGATTATTTGAATTGAATTGATTCGTGATACATTGAAGGAATCAAGTTGATAAATAATTTGTGACTGCAATGATTTGATCGTTTCAATTCATTAAAGATAATGATTTGGTGCTTTCAACGAATGATGCACAATTATGGTATAAGATTGAAATATCAAGTAGTCACACGTGTCAATGGGGTTTTTCAACTATGGAATAAGACTGTTGGGAAGTTGACTATTGAGATAGGATATGACTTTTGGAATAAGACGCATATAGATAGGCACCATTAAAAAAGTAACAACAACGTTTCTCATTCTTTTTTATTATCCCGCAAACAAATAAATGGAAAAAATATATATCTTAATCATCAAAGATGCATAAGGAAGAAGGAAAAGAGAAGAGAACAATTTAGATAAAGAACTAATAATTGGACAATAATCGACGACATAGATTCGGATACGGTTTACATTATAGCACCGTGAAAATCATGATATCAAGATCCTAAACCTAAAATTTTCTAACACCGTGAACGCCCAAAATACATTAAAGTTGACTGTCATTTTGTCCAAAATAAAGTTCTCAAAAATAATATTTGGTCTCTCTATATTTCTTCTACCACTCAACTTGTATATATTTTTACAAAAACATTAGAGAAACCACAGTTTAAATTTCTTCTTGATAGATTAGACATTCGAAATCTCTTTGCTCTCACTTGAGGGAGGATATTAAAATATATTTGACAACTAACACCTATCTTTTATAATTAGACAAATCTGATTTTGTTTTGATTTTTAGTTATTTACAGCTAATTAAGTCCATTCATATAGCAGTAATTAGTTATAATATGATAGACAATTTTATTAGGAGAAATGTAAATGTCATATATTTATATATACATCCATTGATATGAGAAATACATCAACATAACCAATTATTTACAGAAGAGTTTTATATTTACAATTATCGCATTAATTCAAATAAATAATAAATTTTAATGATAAAGTTGTGTTTAATTTTTGTTATTTAAAATTATAAACATTTATATTAATAAAGTAGCCTTAATTCCATAACAAGGTAGAAATTGTTAGATCTGATATGAGGTTATAGATATCCTTACAAATAAAATTGAAAAGCATCCTTATTTACATCATTTAAGAAAGAAAAAGAAAAGTAAGTAAGACCGGTAGTCGAGTACTATCTAGTTAAATTTTATATATCTATTCAACAATCAACATAGACAGATCGATGAAGTTCCTCTCTTTTTTTTCTCTCTGTTAAAGTAGTCAATTGAGTGTACAAATTGTTGTCTATAAAACATTTTTGTATTTATTAATTAATTAAAGATAACAATAAACATATAGCCCGCGGCTATATATATAGATAGAGGGTGTGTATGTACAAAATCATAGACTCCCGAAACATGAGCAAGTTAAGTATCCCAATACTAGTACTACTATTTATAGCCTCCTGCTGCTCAGCAGAGCAATGCGGAACACAAGCTGGGGGTGCTTTATGCCCCGGTGGATTATGCTGCAGCAAATTCGGTTGGTGCGGTTCAACCCTCGAGTACTGCGGTGATGGTTGCCAGAGTCAGTGTAGCGGAAGCAGCGGCGGCGGCACCCTTTCTAGCCTCATCTCCAGTGACACCTTCAACAACATGCTCAAACATCGCAACGATAATGCTTGTCAGGGAAAAGGCTTTTACTCCTACGACGCTTTCCTCACAGCTGCAAAGGCTTTCCCCAACTTCGCCAATAATGGAGATACCGCCACTAGAAAAAGAGAAATCGCTGCTTTCTTAGGTCAAACTTCTCACGAAACCACCGGTGGATGGCCAACTGCACCTGATGGTCCCTACGCTTGGGGATACTGCTTTCTCAGGGAACAGAATCCCAGCGACTACTGCCAAGCCAGCTCTGAATTTCCATGTGCTTCTGGAAAACAATACTACGGTAGAGGTCCCATTCAGATCTCATGGAATTACAACTACGGACAGTGTGGAAGAGCGATTGGTGTTGACTTGCTCAATAATCCAGACCTCGTCGCTACTGATCCTGTTATATCCTTCAAGACCGCTCTATGGTTCTGGATGACGCCTCAGTCACCTAAGCCATCCTGCCACGACGTTATCACCGGAGGATGGAGTCCGTCGAGTGCAGATCGTGCGGCGGGGAGACTTCCGGGATACGGAACGGTGACGAACATCATAAACGGAGGACTTGAATGCGGGAGAGGACAGGATAGTAGAGTGCAGGATCGGATCGGGTTTTACAAGAGATACTGTGACATATTTGGAATTGGATACGGAAATAATCTTGACTGTTATTCCCAGAGGCCATTTGGATCTTCACTTTCATTATCATCAATCCTGCTCGACACCGTCGCAGCAGCCTAGATTGTCTTTTTCTTCAAAATAAATAAATGTGAATGACGGTTCACCTGCTTCGGTTGACTCATGTATAATATAATACTGCTGCTATCAATAATGGAACACAACCTTACTCAGTCATGCATGCTTTACAAATCAAATAACATTGTCCTTATCTTTTATCTTGTTTTTCTCAAAGACCATTTCATTCTCGACTATCATTATCACTACTATTGTCATCTAAAAAAGTCGCACCATATCTAGTCTTTTTCTTTATTACTACGCTTTCATTTTCAAATAAACAATAACATGCTTTTCTTCAACAATCCATATACTATTAATAATAGGTGAAAGATAATAATTTAGAAACTATGCAACTAAAAATAGTTACCAAGTACAATTAAAATATAAATATTTTAAATTGGATTAGAATTATATTTATTTTCAATGCATTTTATTTACAATTGTATTATATAGTAAATGTTTTAAAACCAAATCAGTTCTGTTGGTTTAATTAACTTCACCGGGAATAAAAGATGAATCCAATGTAAAATTTTCGGTGGACCAAAATTGGTAAAAAAAAATCAAAAACCATATTTTATATCGTTTGAATTCAAATAATCGAAATTGATTTTGTAAAATCATCTAATCTAAAGAAATGTATGAACTCATTCACAAAAAATAAACTTCTATTTCTTCTACATTCACATAAATTTCTAAGAGTCATCACATCATCTCTTTTTTTTTTCAATTCTTATCTCATTTTATGGGATGAAAAAATACACTATGAAAAATCTAAAATATTCATTAAATTTCGGAGATGTGTCCTCAAACGCACGTTATCTTAAATCATAATATCACAACTGATTCGGAGATTCATTTTTAAAATATTTCAAAACATACCTCATGCATTCCTATTTGAAAGGTCTATTTTAAATATTTATTGATCCGGAGATGCATCTTCATAACCTTTCAAAGCAATGCAAGTTAAGTTAGTTTTATGGTTTCTCAAAGATTAATCCACCACAACTACTCCTTTTAGCCACAAAATACCTACAATAATCAAGGAAAGGGTTTGAAGAGAGAGTGAGTGAGAGAAAAGGAGGTAGTTGAGGAGAGGGAGCAAGCATGATTTGAGTACAGTCAAAGTGGAAAGTGTTTGTTTCCCTTCTCCATCTTTCAACTAGAGCAGAGATAAGTGGATTGTCTAGACTAATAGCTGGAATTGACCGTAAGTATCCAAATCCAGCCTTGTCTACCAATTCAATCTGTTTCGGTGTAAGTGTCCACTGATCAAGTTTTGAAGTGTGTTCGTGACATCTGAGGGCACCGCGCTCCTGCTGCCCTTCCCAAACTGCCGATGATACATGCTTGTCTTGATCATATAGAACTGAATCATCAATTGGACCTGGATTTGTTGTGTAAGGGTCCACTGCTCCCACTTCCATTACTGACAATAGAAAAATTGAATGGTTTATAGAGCAAATTTTAGGGATGGGTCCTTCTTGTAATAATCAAAAGGAAGTAATTGACAATCCTCAACTTTGACTTCCATCTACTTATGCTTCATCGAGTTGTGAAATTCTCTTTTCCTTAAGTAAACATCATTCTGAGGGAAAATTGACACAGGAAAGTTGAAAAACTAATACTGCAGATTTTAGGGATGGTTCCTTCCTGTAATCCAAACGAAGTAATTGACAATCAGAAATTTTGGCTGCCGTCTACTCATGCTTCACTGAGTTACAACATTCTGTTTTCCTTGTTCTGCTGCCGCGGTAGGAGCAGCACAGGCATTTATGATACTGGAAAATGTAAACTCATTTGGTTTAATCCCTTCTTTTATCAATTGGCAGAAGATTTTAGCAGCTTCTTCGGTTTCTCCTGTTTGTGCGTATCCTGCTAGCATTGCTGACCATGCCATTAAGTCCTTCACTTTAATTTTCTCGAAAAACTTTCACAGCATCATTAATATTTCCTATCTTAACATACGCATCTAAAAGTGCAGTCCCTACTGATGATGACTTTTCATAATTAGTTTTGATAACTACAACATGCATTTCAGAAACGAAAACAGCTTGCTGCACAGCAAGGATGGCAGAATACGTAAAATGATTTGGTTTGAATAATATAAATGGTGATGAGATTGTAGAATTTGTGAAGTTTCTGTTATAAAATGTAATGGACTTGAAACCAGTTTTACACCTCACTCATAAACAAAACTTGGAAATCGCCATAAGATCATGATAACCAAACTCAAAGTTCTTGACTTAAAATGATGAAAACTTGACATCCCGCGAGAACCAAACAAAATTATTGACTTGGAACAATTTCCACTTGAGTTAACCTTGAGAAGTAGAATTGACCTTGAATTATCCTAAATTGGGAACGGATTAGAGCCTTGAATTAATAAATCAGTCTGGATTTGACCATTTGAATATCAACAAACCAAAGTCTCTAATATAAAAAACTCCCTGAGCCAAAACATGTCTTAAAATCAGAGAACCATGATTAAACTTTAATTGAAGAATAAACTTGATCCTGTTGATCATCGACAACAAAACACTTGATTAACCACAGTCCTGACAACTGACCCACATACAGATGATTTGGGGTACAGAAACCCTGATTGAAAACTCATGAAACAATCTCTTGACTGACTAACCAAAAAAAAGCCACTGAATAATACTCATCACTTGCCCGAGTCACCTTACACAACCCTGAACCACAAGCAAAGATAGCCTCCTCCTTTTTCTAGATATAGTTAGTGAATGGATGCACAGGTGAAGGTATATACTGGTAGGACAAATTTTGGGGTACAACAGCTGCCCCTATTCAAGCGACTTAGACCTGAAGGGATGAAAGGTAAGCGACTTTCAGACATTCAAGGTAAAAGACGGTTGAATACCCAAGGACCCGGAAATTTGACAACCGCGATACGAACTTCTGACATCGCCGCCAGACACCCATATTAAGTAGAACGTCTGACCTCGCCGTCAGCTCCTTTAACAGCATCTAACCTCGCCGTCAGACCTCAGCGTCAAAATTATAAGTCAACTGACTTTATCGTCGGTCTTCAATACTTTCTGACTTCGTCGTCAAAAATTTTTCAAAATCGTCTTCTGACTTCGCCTCCAATTCCCATATTAAATGGAACATCTGACTTCACCGTCAGTCATAAATCAAGTAAACATCTGACCTCGCCGTCAATTCTCATATGACCTGACTTCGCCGTCATCTCTTAAAACAATCTTCTGACTTCGCCGTCATTTCCAACAATTTTAACTTCGCCGTCAATTCTTAACATAATTGGTAAAAGCATCTGACCTCACGGTCAGGCCTCGACATTAAGTCGGTAAAAAGATCTAACCTCGCCGTCAGTCCTCTGTTAAATACAAACAGATATTGAATCCAAAGATACGATCCTCCGACATCGCCGTCAAAACGAACTTTCAACATCGCCGCTGAATAAACAAATTACTTTTGACATCGCCGTCAAAACAAACTTTCAACCTCGCCGCTGAATAAACAATTACTTTTGACATCGCCGTCAAAACAAACTTTCAACCTCGCCGCTGAATAAACAAATTATTCCGACATCGCCGCCAGAAACAATCATCCAACCTCGCCGCTGAATAAACAAATTACTCCGACATCGCCGCCAGAAACAAACTTTCAACATCGCCGCTGAAAAATTAAATCATCTGACATCGCCGTCAAAACTAACTTCTCAACATCGCCGTTGAAGAATTAAATCACTTGACATCGCCGTCAAAATAAACATTCAGCATCACCGCTGAATAAACAAATTACTCCGACATCGCCGCCCGAAACAAACATCCAACCTCGCCACTGAATAACAAATCACCCTGACATCGCCGCCAGAAACAAACATCCAACCTCGCCGCTGAAGAACCAAATCACTCGACCTCGCCGCCGAAAATAAACATCCAACCTCGCCGCTGAACAACAAATCACTCTGACATCGCCGCCAGAAACAAATATCCAACCTCGCCGCTGAATAAACAAATTACTCTGACATCGCCGCCAGAAACAAATATCCAACCTCGCCGCTGAATAAACAAATTACTCTGACATCGCCGCCAGAAACAAATATCCAACCTCGCCGCTGAATAAACAAATTACTCTGACATCGCCGCCAGAAACAAACATCCAACCTCGCCGCTGAATAAACAAGTTACTCCGACATCGCCGCCAGAAACAAACATCCAACCTCGCCGCTGAATAAACAATTACTTTTGACATCGCCGTCAAAACAAACTTTCAACATCACCGTCGAAAAACTGATTACTTTTGACATCGCCGTCAAAACAAACTTTCAACCTCGCCGCTGAACAAACAATTACTTTTGACATCGCCGTCAAAACAAACTTTCAACATCGCCGCTGAACAAACAATTACTTTTGACATCGCCGTCAAAACAAACTTTCAACATCGCCGCTGAATAAACATGTCACTCTGACATTGCCGCCAGAACAAACTTCTCAACATCGCCGTTGAAGAATACTAAATCATCTAACATCGCCGTCAGAACAAACTTCTCAACATCGCCGTTGAAGAATATAAATACTTGACATCTGTAACCCGGTGAACTGACTTTAAACAATGTTGCGGATAGCAAGAGTCGCCACCGACTTTTATTTTATCCATAAGGAAAGGTTATAAAAGAACAGGAAAGACCTTAGAGAATATTTTGGGTCCGGGGGGTAGGTTATGAAAAGGGAAGGTATTAGCATCCTTTTCATCCATGGTTATCCATGGGCTCTTAGGTACTTAAGCTCACTTTTGAATTGTTTTGAAATTATAGTGTGTGAATAGAAAATTTTCAGAATAGTTAATAAATAATCCATGTAAGGATGTGTTAAGAACTTGTTTGAAAACTTGTTGAAAATTTGTTTAAGTGCGAAACAGTTTTGAAGTGAGCAAGCACCTAGGAGTAACCTACCCTAATGTTTAAAGGTCTTTCTTATTCTTCATTCTTTCCTTTAGTAAGACTATCCCTACTATAA